TAAGTAGTTACTCTATAATAATTATTCCCTCTAAAATGTTCAGTTTAAATAAGTGCAACAGTGTTCCTCCTTCTAGGTCACCTGAACTTATGAAAACTAGCAGTATTGATATGAGCTTTTACTCAACCCCACAGTCATAAGTGGCCCAGAAGCAGCACTTGATTTCATCCCTCTCCTATGATCCATTACAGTTATATTCATGTTCCTCAGTTCTCATTACTTTTGACCCTGTTTGTCTTCTTTGACACATCATTTCTCATATAAAACCCAGTACTGTATTTATCTTTTAGTCTTTAGTTTATTACAGCTACTTAAAGCTCAAAATTTTATCTAAAATTCTTGAAAAGGTTTTCACTTTGTCACTTCACCTAGTGAATGATAATCAAGATCATTGCTCATAATTTGACCTGTCTTGTGTGGTTAGCAAGAAATGTTATTCCTTATTATTTTACATACTCTTATAAAGGGTTATCTTGCTAGGTGAGTAATTCTGCATGTAGGTTATGTACTGTACAGTAACTTTAAAGTATTTGAGCCTCCCAGACCCCTACTGTAGATTCCTTTAGAGGATCGCAAGGCCATTCTGTAACTTTACAGTAACTTTTAAAGTAAAAGTTTAATGGCCATACAATATATGTTTGTCAGATTCTACACTGCACTGCTATTCCCACCGCTCTCTGATGCACTTTGTTCAGTCCTACAGTAATTGACAAATGTAAGCATGCACACAATCTGCGATGAACACTATAAACACTACACTTTTGAAATCTATTAGCATTGTCTTTGTGCGCATGTAGCTTGAAGCACTACCATGCCTAAACATGGCCCTGTAGAACTGTAGAGTGGCTAACACTCAGGCTTCTTAAAACTGTAAATAAGAGTTTAGCTCTGGTTAGACTCCCTGGAAACCAGACTATTAACGAAGACTGTGCATGACTTACTATACCATGGTACTGTAGCAATAACTCTGATATGAAAACCAGCTTGGCCACATATTGACCCATTAGCTTATTATCATTCTTTCATCTTGGGTGATTCATTTCTCAGCTGTTTGCCTGTTTTTGAAACATTTAATGATCTTTTGGATACTTTGATCCCTCGCCTCTAGATTAAATATCAAGAAGGCTAAGATGGTGTTAGGTAGTATTATACACTATAAAGAGAAAGTGCTGACAATTTAATTAGATGCAGAATTTTTCTAAATAATTTAATCTTAAAAGCCAAAGATTTGTAAATAATGAATTGCTTAGAAATTGATCAGAAATTGAATTACGGAGAAATTAAATTCAAATACTGCAAATAAGAAATGAGATGATATAAAAACTAACATAACTGCTATTCAAAACTTTTATTGAGGTGAGTTACAAGGAAAGTAGAAAAAAAAACTCACAGCAGATTTATTAGTTATTTGTGCTTCCTTGTGGCACCACACTCCTTTCCTCATTTTAATTTTACCTTTAGAATCTTTCAACTATCCCAAGAGGTTTTTGGCAGTAAGTAGAGAAAGAAGTTATTTATTACCGCTTTATCAGTGTAAACAGACTAGGAAATGCATACCAAACACTTGACCATTGGCAGGCATTTGATCAGTACCTCTCAACCAAACAATTTGGGTTTTTTACTTTTGGATCCTGCATCCATTCAAATTGACTTCTGTTGTTGATGATGCTCTTATCGTGGAGGGGATATTTTAGAAATAGGTTGGCGATTTAGTGGCTGCTACAACACATACAGTGTGTGTGTGTCAGGGTAAGTTTGTGTACGTGTGTCTGCCCTTGGCTTGTCTGTTCAAAGCATGATTCAAGTGCTTTTATTTCCTGGTTAATTTATGGTGTGATGTTTGCTTTTGTGCTCATGAGTACATTACTGGAGAGGAGGAGGAATCAGGATTGTGTATGTGTATATAATCAGCATGCATAAATGGTGTCATCCCAATATGACAGGCAGAAAACAGCAGACATTCGCTTCGCTTATCCTCTCACATACATTCAATATTAGAGATGTACTAATTGTATTTTTTTGGTCAGTTCTGATTTATTTATTTTTTTTAAGTCTGACTTGCCAATTCCAATTTCAACAATTCAGCTGTAATAGAGCAGTGGATTAAATCTTCATCTTTCTCTCTTTTTTAACAAACCAACTAAAATTGCAAGTGCAATATTTGCACTTCTTCAAATATAAGCAGGTGCAACAGGTAATAGAAACAAAATATCTGTTCCATCAGTCCTACTGAGCACACAGGTATTTTTGAAGTGTGTATAGTTTTTCTCTTTTACACTGTACATGCATTTCAAGTGTAGCCAGTAATTCCCTCAATGTGCACTATTTGATGGAGATTTGGACATAGTTTTCCTCTCTCCAAGGTGTTTCTGTATGCTCATCTGAGCATATAATTCACTATATGGGTGCAATGGCTATCAACAGAAAAAGAATAGATGGTTAAGAGGTTAAGGAAGAAAGAGAAAATGAATGAATATTAGCTCTATTATAGAAAATGTTACTCCATGTTAATATGCTGTTGTGGTCACTAGACCCAAACATAAATTGCTCATGAGATATTTCAAAGAGAGTAAAGAACACAACAAACCTTATACAAAGCAAGTTGTGCAGCTTTTAACATATGTCTGGAAGCATGAGTGAGGTTACTATGGCAACTCCAGTGTGGAAGCCAAGATTAAAGGAGCCATTATACTGGTTTTTATGCTATTCTTTTTTTTTTAACCCTTCTCCTCTACTCTCTCAATGCATTTGTCCTCTAGACAAAACAACAGTGTCTTGCTGTCTCACAGAACTAGTTTAAAATGTGTACAAATCCTTCCCCAGCAGTGTCATCTTCGAGCTGATTGGAACCCCATTCATAATTTATCTCTAATAGTTAATGGGCCTCTGTCTTTCACACTTTATCGCTTTGTCCTGTCTGTCTCACCTCATCTATACTGCATGATTATAAAAACAAGCAAGACTCAATCAGTGGGAGGGTTTTATATTTAACAAATGGTGATGGGTTAAATTATTGAAGCATACATTTTTCATAAGGCTATTTGATGAGAAGGCAGTTAGCATACTGTTCCTAACTGCTTCAGGCAGCAGCTGGTTTAGAAATTGGTTTGTGTGTGTGAAGGATACACTGAAATTAATTGTCCTTCAGAAGTTAAATTTGGTCAGCAGTTCAGTTGGCAACAGGGGAGGGAAAGCGAGATTTAGTTTTTTTTTTATTTATTTATTTTTTTAAATTAACACTATCCACAAAATCCGTCTGTCAGTTAAATGTATTGTATTTTGCTGCTTAATTACATTATAGGAACCGGCACAAGGCACAAGCTGTACATTTGTTTCAGCTGGCAACAGGGGGGGGAAAGAGAGGTTTAGTTTTTTTTTTTTATTTTTATTTTTTTTTTAAATTAACACTATCCACAAAATCCGTCTGTCAGTTAAATGTATTGTATTTTGCTGCTTAATTACATTATAGGAACCGGCACAAGGCACAAGCTGTACATTTGTTTCAGCTAATTAAGCTGAAAAGTGAGTTTCTCTGGAACACTGGCTCCCTTAGCACACTAATGTGGTATATACTTTTTTTCAGGGTGATTTTATCCAAAGTATTGCACTTGCACTACCAAGACAGCACATTTTCTTCAAATTTAGCCTCTCTGGGAATTCACAACATAACCTTTGTGGTATTAGTACCAGACTTTACTCATTCAACTACACAAGACCAATTACAGCAACAGACCTCTAAATATGGTACAAAACAGCTCTCAGCCAATGTAGCCTGCCTGGTTATTAATGGTATTTGCAACTTGTGTCCCCCCACACACACATATACACACACACTGTACAATCTCAGGCTTATTTTCTGGTCAGTGAAATACAGTGAGCATTGCTTCACTGCACTGGCCTATGCAATTAGTAGCCCAGTGGATTCATGGGATAAACTGAATTGAAATAAAAGGCTGAAATAGAAGAAAGACAGCAAAAAATAACACATGGTTAATTATGCATAACTGACCAAAAACAAAGACCAAATCTCTACCAGCCAGCCACTTCTTCTGTCTCCTCAGCACTGCATGTTGACATTTATTTTAATGGTGAATTTAGTATTGATTAGTGGGAAGTTTATATGCCACTACAGATACTGGCATTCACCAGTCTTTTCATTAATTTCCCTTTGTGCAGTAACCATTTCAGCTGAGTCAGTGTGGCCTTGGGCAGTGTTAGACCATAGAATGAATACCGAGGTTGATCCAATTCTCCCCTCACAACCCTTCTTTCTCAGGATGTGTCCCAGTTGAGGGACTAGAAACTAAAACCCACATTTTTAGACTTCTGACATGTCAAGAAAGTGAAGGTGGTTCTTCAAGTGCAGCCTTCTTTTCCCCAAATTTGGAGAACACAAGTGGTGTATCTTTTTCAGCTCTTAGTATCATATAACCTGTTACAAGGTGGTATTTTTTAGGTTTGGATGGATCAGTGACCTTATCATATGTACTAGGTGTGTTCGTTCAGATGGCAATCATTCACTGGACCAGTGAAAATATTCTCTGCAGGACATGCATAATGGAAACAGGGTATAAACTCTATAGACTGATCTTGTAATCAGTTGGATTATGTTATTAATTAGTTGAATACTAGATTAGTGCTTTGTAAAACATCAATCCTTTCATTATCAACTTCAGTATCATGGGACTGGCCTCTGTACACTGCAATTTTTAAACAAAATGTCAGCTGTTGAGCAATTTTTGGTGATAAATTCGATCAAATTTATTTATTTATGTCAAAAAACCCGAGAAACCTTAGGCCTATTAAGAAGATGTTGTAAAGCTCGACCATCTGGGAGGGAGTAGATTATGCCTGGCTTTAGGTTCTCTGATCTCTGTAGGCTGCATACGTCTGAGGCTCTAGCTCATGCATTACCACTCTTCTGTCTACAATGTACATTCTAAAGGGTTTCCTCATCCAAATTAAAAGTGTCCTCTTTTTCCGTCTGCTTCTTTCACTAGGTGCCATCTTTGATGAATCAGCACGCAAAGATGATGAGGTGTTCCGCCTTGCAGTTGCAGATCTCAATTTGAACAATGAGATCTTGGAGACAGAGAAGATCACCATCTCTGTGGAATTTGTTGATGGGAATAACCCCTTCCAGGCTGTACAAGAAGGTAGGATGTTAATACTACATGGTTTGGGAGATGAATGCTTGTGCTCGAGAGCAACAGTGTTCTAAAGGTGCATCCTTTTCAAAGTCCCATTTCAAGTGTTTTTTTTGGTGGGGGGTGTCATAAAATATATATTTTCAAAAAGGTGATCTGGGTTAATCTGGGTTTGGTTCCTTTTTCATCCACAAAAACAACCTCTATCACAGAGTCAGCTGAGGATGGGGCAGTGATTTATTTATTTTCTATGCCCTTTTTGTTTTGGTTTACTTTGATGTTGACACAGAGTTAATTTTGCACAAATGTAGTTTGAACAGGGAATTGACTCTAGAATTTTGATATACAGAAGTCAAATAGTAGATACGCTTGCCTTCACAACTCATTTTCATCCATGTGTTTATTGATTTGAATACGCCAAAGCATGTCTGTCAAAATATATTAATGCATCCACATATTCATAACTAAAACCAACTGGCTTCATTCTGAATTGCGCATTTAATTCAAAAGAATCATTTGTAATGAAATTTCATGAGGCCAGTAACCTAATCTTACTAATTCACTGAAACACCCTCATGTGTAGTGCAGTGTTTTTGTACACCCAATAGTCATACACATTAAGGCTGGCACTGCCAACTGCCAACTCATTATATCTGGTAAATTAAAAAAAAAAAAAAGAGCTGAAGTTGTTTAAAAACAAATGAATCCGTACTTAAAACAAGCATGTGTCAAAATGGATGTTGCAGTCAATTATTTGGTCTATTGCTCACCAGCAGAACTCCTACTGAATTCTTACTGAAGATCATTGTGAAATATTCTGTATTAAAAGATAAGAAGTTAATTGTTCAGCTGTGGGTAGCACAGATTTTTCACACATATTCAAACCCTGCAAACAATATATCTTCTATAGTACTTCTGACACCCCAAATACTTTCCGTGACACATTAATGTTTTAGCTGTAACCCATTTTAAGCCTGAAATACTGGAAATTACAAAATGTGTCAAAAATGGGAACAGCACTCATAGTGGCATTGTTTGCTTGGCTAATGACTCATCTGATGATAGTGTGTGTGCGTGTCACAAACATTCTCTTCAACTACAATGTGTGCTGAGTGGCTAATTAGAGACTTTTGTTTTTGTGTTCGATAGTCAGCCGAAAGCCTTTGTCAAGTAGGTACAGTACCAGCATATTATCTTTTTCTTGAGGAGTGATAATGGTTTTCTTTAGAAATGTTTGTGTTTACTCATACTTGGGTTATTCATGTTGTGGGTACATAAATCTGTTTACACTCACACTGCGGGGACTCAGTGTTGTTAAGAGGGGACAAAAAGCAAGCCCCCGTGGAATATAGGTCTGTAGCCCCTTTTTCACCACCTGGTACTGGCTCAGCTCAACTCGACTCGCCTTATTTGTTTTTCCATCACTGAAATGTTGGGGATAGTACCTGGTACTGTTTTTGGTATCGTCTCCATTGAGGTTCCAAGTGAGAGGAGGCGATACCAAACGGTGATGTAACGATTGGTCAGAGAAATCGTGTCATCAACATGTGAGACATCCTGGGACAAATAAAGCACCATTTTTAAAAAACAACATTATTTAACGCTATTTTACTGTAGTTACTGTACTAACTAAAAACAGCCACATACCGAGAATCAAGAACAGCATACCATCTATGCCCTCCATTTTTACTGTATGATGCTGAAGACATCACGACAGTGGAATGCGGTGTCGCTATGACAACTAGATACACTGAGAGGGGACCATCTGCAGCAGAAAACCAAGCACCCGGTACCAAACGTGTGTAGAGCTGAGTCGAGTTGAACTGGCACCAGGTGATGAAAAAGGGGCTTATGTAATATCCACTGAAGTGAATGAATCACAACTGATAGTGTGGTGTGTGTTATCTATCACAACTGATAGTGTGTGTGTGTGTGTGTGTGTGTGTGTGTGTGTGTAATTATTTTAGAATAAAAAGGGAATTTAACAAAATACAGAAAGTGTGAGCACAGGTAGCATCTGTACTTACACAGTGATGAGATACAGCTGCACACGGTTTCTTCTTCTTGTTTAATGCACTTTCTCTGACACTTGTGGTTCACATACTATTTCTCAGGGATCTCAGCAATAGACAGTGGCATCAGATTCAACCAGTTAAGGAAGGTGCTACACTGATAGGTTTTCTATTTATTTAGAGTTAACAAAAATCTTACTAGTCTTTTTTTAAAAACACACAATTGCCTGATGCCTCATGATTTTACAACCTGCACTGCAAAACCACAAAAGGAGCTTTGTGTCATAGCAGTCCTGGTTTCAGCACTGCGCGTCTGACTGAAAATAATCAGCAAGGCCAATAGTTGATGACGGTCGGAAAGAAAATAATTAATCTGATATATTAATATTTCAGCAAAAATGTGACTAAAATTAAAAAGCTTTGTGTCAAAACATTTTTGCACTGTTGTACTTTATGCAATTGTTCTGGTGAAACCTGAATCCTCTTAACTTCAGATAAACCAAAACCAATGGATTTAAAGAGGAAACATTAAAAATCACAGCAGTTAGTGTCTGTTGATTTAATTAACTGATAATCAAATACACCCATGGAGACGCAAATAAACACAAACACATACATTATATTAGTCTTGACTGAGAGAGTTAAGCAAAGAGTAGAGAGTACATGTGTGAGCTTGTTTATTTAATCAATCAGGCTGCAGGTCTGTAACTAACAATAGTGGCCAGACTCTGAGGTATATTTGGTGGTATATTTCTTTTTCAGAGTTGGCTTAGAGGACCTTGTGTGGATCTTCTGTATGTGTATGTGTGATCGGGCACCTCTAACAGCCTTGATAAGGCTGTTGCTTTGATATAAAGGCTCTGCAGTGTTGTTTGCTAGTCAGACTATAATTCCCAACCTAGTAGTTTTATTATCTGGGCTCTGTGTGTTTGTAAGCTAGATATCTTTTTTGTTTGTTTGTTTGTAGCTTCTTTAATTTGAGCAGCCTACATCTCATGTGTCTTGTTAAGAATATCAGTACTGTGTGAAATAAAGACGGTAAGTAAAGAGAGACGTGACAGTGTAGCAGGGAGGCATTATTTGCCCTTTGACTGAGCAGACTTGGCCAACAGCATCTTCCTGGATCTTACAGTATGTTTCAGTCTTTCTGTGGTCCTTACATTTTTAGTGTTTCTCACAATTTTATTCTGTATTCCTGTTTAAGCTTTTTTTTTGCTGACACTGCATGTTCTTTTTCAGAAATCTCATACATCACATTTATGAATATAGACAGTCACAACACAACTTGGAACTGCCACGTACACTGCTGTCACTGTTGGCTGCCATAGGAGGCTCACTGGGTGAGTCTGGGTTAGTAGTAGACACAGCATATCTATTAGTAATGCAAGCCTAGTTAAAGACAGATCAAGGCCACCAGTCTGTCTATTTTTTTTTTTTTTTTTTTACTTGGAACTTCAACTGGCTAGTTTTTAGTGATAAACTGGCTTTTTATTTATTTATTTGGCTATTTCATCCTTGACTGATTAAACTCCTGCAGGCCTCCAAGTCCCTCATTCTGTTGACTGGTCTGTTCAAATTTGTGGGTGGTACAAGGAATACTTCCTCATCTTCCTGTTTGCTTGATCTTGAACAGACCACCTACCTCATTTCCTTGCCAGTCTGCCTGCTGGTCATCCTGTTTTCCCATCTGTTTTATCTGGCTGATGAATTGATTGCTTGTCTCCCTATATGCCTGTCTATCTGCATATTTGTCTGGTAACCTGGCTGATAAATTGTGTTTGTCTCTTATGTATTATTGCTTCAGTAGGTTTTCTTGGTGACCTTTTAGGCAGAAACAAAAAAAAAATTGGTTAAAATTGATTAAATTAATACTATTAAGCTGCACATTTTCTATATTATGCAGAGAACTATACTCTGTGGTCCCGATTACTCACATTTTTAAAAATTCCATAAAGTTGCTCTTCCAGTAAGTAGTTATAAATGATGAAGTAACAAATGTTAGTTACCTTTCATTAGGTTTGACTCTGCTTATGAGGCATGCAATATGTTACAGTCAGTGTGTATGTAGAGAAGTCATAAATACCCTGGCACATAGAGGGTTCATTAAAGAATTGCTGTAACTAGTAATTTGTAAACACGCAGTACCTGCTGTGGTCAGTACTGTGATTAATAGCAACTGCATGTCCTCTGTGAGGGCTGGATTTGCATATGTGAAAGTGTACTATATAGGTGTTGTTTGTGCCTTGCCTTTCATTCACTTTGTGCTGCTAATGTACATACAGTATAATTAGCACCACATTTAGTAAGGCTTGTAGGTCATTATGCAATCAGTACTTGGGACTATACACTAAACATTCTATGTAAAACAGAGCTTATACCAGTGGTGTGATTAGTCAGAGATGAACAAGCTCTGAACAAACAAACAAATGAAAACATAATGTAATAATGCTGCATAGAGATGCGTGAAGCTCAACTGGTGAGGGAGAGACAACAGGAGGTCCAGGAGAAGCTCAGAGCAGAAAGTGGGATGCTATGTGTGTCAGCAGAATGCAGAGGTAAAAATGACCAAATATAATGTGCATTTGCCACTCTATAGATCTGCATGTTTATTAAAAATCAAGATTTTAATGATCTTAAATCTGAATCATTCAAGTTTAACAAACACAACACCACCACTCCCACATCTCTTCTGTCTTGGGTGTTATAAAACAGTCAGATACAGTATTGGGTTCATTCAGGACCAATCATTAAAGTGCCCATAGCATGCTCATTTTGCTTGTTTCCAGCCATTTAATGTTTAATCTTGGGTACCTCTAGATTAGTTTAGCACCCCTCATAACTCCAGATAGTTTGTAATTGATTCAGAAGCAGAGAAGCAAAAGCCTTAAAACAAGAGGACAGTTCGTGAACGTGCACAACTCCTGTTGCTGGTGTTGTGTCCCAAATGGACAGCACAATGAACCATGACGGCATTAATTAATATGAATTTTTCCTCCA